CTGGCCTTGTCTTCACGAGAGGCGCCCTCACGACCAGGGTTGGTATTTTTGGGTCGTGACAATTTGGTTGTCTCTAACCCCTAAGTTTATTAAATTACACTTTGGCCCTATTTTCTATTATAAATATCTTCCATTCTTATTCATTTTTTCCCACAACAAATCAATTTTCTCTCTCAAATCTCTTACCATCTAATATTCTATCTATATTCTATATTATTCTCTCAATTTTGTTACTATCAAGTATCAAGATTCAACTTTCAAATATTTGGGCAGTTTTATTTTGGAGCAGCATTCAAGCTTCAAACTAAATTCGCCGTGTATTTGGGCAATTTCTTCAAGTTTCAATATTTGTGTTAGCTTTTTAATTTAGTTTCGTATTTAAATTATGGCACCTAAAATGCAAAAGGATCAACAACTATTTGTGGATCTGTTGTATACTTGTGGAATTATTGTTGTATTTCTAGTGCTAGCCATGTTCTTTCTGTATATATTATCCAACTGTTAGCCAAATATTATGGTATTTGTGGAATTTTCCTTGTATGAGAAATGCAATGAATAAATGCAATGAATAAAGACATGCAATTTATGATTATATGAATACCGCACAACTCACCTCTAAGGGAAGTTTGAGTGAAATAAAGAGAATAAATATTATTGTGTGGTTACATGAATATGTCATTGGTCGCGTACATGTGATACACCAAATAATATTTTGCCATGCCTTATAAAAGTTATTAAAGGCAAAATTAAAGCAATAAATAATTTTGCTTATGATGATTCTGACCATGACAATTTATTATGATATAAGTTTCTCCGTGAAGGAGACATTTACCATATGAACAATATGATAAAAGATCTTGTAGTATAAAAATTATTAAGATCTCCGAAAAACTAATTTGTTACTACCCGAATGAATAAAATTATTCATGAAATTGATATTGTAAAGTCTCAAAAGAAATTTTCTTTTGATTTCAAAATTATAAGTCAAAGTGGTTGTCATATTGAGACAATAAATGAAAGGAAGATTGAATATCTTCATATTTCTATAATCATATCGGGTAATTAAATATGAAAAAGTTACCCGATTTTCTTTCTATTTATACTACACAAATATAAGCATGATGCTTGATTCATATGCCACAAGTAAACTAGAAGTTTGCTAAAACAAAAATTAGTTGGCATAACCGGTTGACCATCCCGGTTCAATTATGATGCGAAAAATTAATTGAGAATTCCATTAACATATATTGAAGAATAGAAGATTCTTCAAGAATTCTCTTGTGCTACTTATTCTCATGATATACCAGTTAAGGTTGGGATTGAATCCCTAAATTTCTGAAACGAATAAAAGGTGATAAATATATGGGCCCAGTCACCTGCCATGTGGACCGTTTACTATTATATGATTTTAATAGATGCATCTATTCTATGGTCACATGTGCATTTATTATCAATATGCAGTTTGGTTTTTGCAAGATTGCTTGCTCAATTATTAGAGCACCGTTCCAGAATATAAATTATAATGATTTATCTTAATAACACTGGTTTAAATCCAAGCTAGTTTAGTATAAATTGTATGCCTCCAATTATAGCTAAATCATTGGTTATGAGAACAAAACTCTCAAAAATAAAATTTTGTATGAGATGTATTATTTAATATACAGCAGCACTTGTACGCATCTAGCCAAGTTATGAAAATTTCTCCCTATCACAATCGGTTCAGGGTCAGGAACCAAATAATTTCTATATATAAATATAGATGTGCTATATAATTTAATTATGCCACCACAATGCACAAAGATGGATTCACACGGAAGGTTGGGAAATGCGTTGGTGATGCTAACATTAGGAGGAGAAAATGGGCAGCTGAGAAAGTGATACGTGAAATGAATTATTATGAATACATATAGATCCTCGTACAAGAAAATATAAACTTGAAGTTCAAGTGATAATTCATTTACAAATTATTGCCAGACACATTTGCTGACCCAAAGCTAAATATCATATTTCAGTTGCTAATGCTCCAACCAGAATAAAGTCCAAGAGGGACAGAGTCTATGCCACGCATGAAGCGTAACAGACCAATCAGTTCCAAAGATAAAACTCCTTAAAGAAAGGTAGGGGCAAATATTCAAAATGGTCATAATAAGGAGGCAAATACTCTAGAAGAGCACCACGACATAACACTGCATAAGACCTCATAGGAAAGGCTCAGGTACCTGAAATAATGAGATAAAGAGATCTCAATAAGTTATGTCTTTATTAGGTAATGGAACTGACATAAAGTGATCGTCGACGATATTGTTAATATAATGTAGCGCTCAATACTATTAATATTGACGAGGATCTTGAGCTCAAATCTGTCATGAAATTTGGACAGATAAATAATTGGCCAAAATAAAATAAAATAAAATACGCAATCAAGATTGATTTCACCTGAAAAATGTGAAGTTGGACGGATAGTCCCAACACATGAAAGTATAAAGCCAGTGGAGGTATAAATGTATTCTTGTATGAAAAAGGTCAAGTCGACAGACATAAAGACGACTTGTGTTACAAGAAGATTGAAAATATCCTGGCATTGATTATATAAAGACATGTTCTCTTGTGGTGGATGTAATCATTTCAGGTTTTAATCTGGCAATACATAAAAACTTGATATGCGTATAATGGAAATCATTGAAGGATTTAAATTGTTCTGAAGCATATTATGATTTCCAAGAAATTTATTAAATAAGTCTTCAATAATCCTTATACGGATTGACACAATCAGGGCGCATGTGGTATAATCGCCCGAGAAAATACTTGTTGAAAGAAGGGTACAAGAATAATTCAGTTTGTCCTTGTGTCTTTATAAAAGGATCTGGAATTGAATTTGTTATAATCGCCGTGTATGTTGATGATTCAAATATCATTAGAACTCCCGGGGAGCTTCATAAAGCAGTAGACTATTTAAAGAAAGAATTTGAAATGAAAGATCTTAGAAAGATAAAATTTTATCTTGGTCTACAAATTGAGTATATGAAAGATGAATTTTTTTTGTCCATCAATCAACATACATTGAAAATAGTTTAAAGCGATTCTATATGGATAAAGTACATCCATTGAGTACCCTGATGGTTGTGTAATCACTCGATATAAATAAAGATTCATTCCGACCTCATGAAAATAATGAAGAACTTCTTGATCCTGAAGTACCATATCTTAGTGCAATAAATGCACTAATGTATCTTGGTAACACTACAAGGAGTGACATAAATTTTTTTCCAGTTAATGTCTGAACAAGATATATCTCTACTAATACAAGGAGACATTAGAATGAAATCAAACACATATTGTGTTATCTAAAATGGACTACCTATGTGGACTTATGTTATGGCAATGATTGCAATCCCGATCTTGTTGGTTATGCTGATGCGAAGGATCAAGAATGTGAATTGATGCTCTCATCAGGGGGAGTTAATACGTGTTGTACTCTTTTTTCCTTACAAGGTTTTGTCCCACTGGGTTTTCCTTGCAAGGTTTTTAACGAGGCAACCAAAAGGCGTATTTCTAAACATGTGTACTCTTTTTCCTTCACTAGATTTTTTTTTTCCCATAGGGTTTTTTTTAGTAAGGTTTTAATGAGGCACATCATCTTACATGGACATCCAAGGGGGAGTGTTATGAATAATTTGTACATTGGATACTACATTGGATGCCCATGTTGTACATTGGATACTACATTGGATACTACATTGGATGCTACATTTGATGCCCATGTTGTGAATATATTAAAGATTAAATTTTCTATTTTATGTCTATCATCTTTACTTTTTATGCCTATAAAAGGTCATGTAATTGCAATGTAAATGTACACATAATTGAAGAAGAAAATCTCTTCCTTCTCTCTATCTCCATTTCTTGTTCATGTTTTACTAAATTGCTTTTATTTCCTTGTTCCATATTGTTACTTTGAGTTATATTTTATAACAATTTTGAGTTTTTTCCTTTTTAATTAGACAACACACAAGTCCGTTCAAATTTCAAAATATTCATAACTTCGGCACCTAGAAGTTGCAACTCAATACTATGGGACTTTTTTTTTTGCTTTTTTTGAAGTGGAAATTATAAGCATCGTTAGTACTAGAAAATTACATCTATATCGTTATCTGGTGAACCAAGATCGATTGTACTTGGAAAAGACTTTTCACACTTTTATAAAATAATTACGGGTTTAATTAATACTTTGGATTTAAAATTTATATCGTTTAAATCAAAATTTTGTTGTGACTATAGTCACACAAACTGACACTATCTTAGGTATCAAAAATAAAAATAAAGTGAGGTTTTTACTTCTAGTCAATATCTCTATATTGAAAAGGATCTTTCCAAGATGTTGCATTTGGACATAAGAATTGTAAAAGTTTCAAAAAAGTTTAAAAAAAAAAATTAAGAGAAAATAATATTTAAAAATTAAAGTTGTGTTTCGACATGAATATAATTTTGTTTTTTTTTTTTAATGTTTTGTGAGTGATCTGAGTAAAAAAATTGAAAATTTATTTTTGAAGTTTTTCAAATTTTCGAAAAATTCCAAAATTCATCTTCAAGAAAAATTAAAAATTTTATGGCTAAACACCGATTTCGGAAAAAAGTGAAAGATTTCTTATGTCCAACGGGCTCTAAGTCATTTGGATCTACAAGAGTTGTTTCCATGGCTCGAACTCGTAACCTCCTGGTCACATGGCAACACCTTTACCAGTTACACCAAGGCTCCCCTTCCATTAGACTAGTTATCAAGATAGTTATATCTGAGCCTTAGGATTTACACATTTGTTGCCTATATAAAAATGTAATGAAGGAACAAGAGGAGAATCCAGGAACTCGATATGCAACAAAACCCAACGAAGTTCAGAGATTAGTTTTCCACATCAAACAACATCATCAATATACCCAGTAATGCATGCGTTACAACCTCATTTACATTGAAATTAAAGACGAACAAGTTTTAATTTTCTTTATTGCATCATATGATTGGACTGCAGTAAACATGAAATGCATGCGTTGACACCATTTCAGGTATTCCAGCTAATTGTTCTTGACCCCAGGCTCACAGCAAATTCAATACTGTCCCGATCATTTCTCCTGTAGAAAAGAGGAAAATTAGTATAGATTTATGTTGTCTCTTTCTAATATCCACAGATAATAATGGATTCCAGCATACGTATATATTTAACAGAGGTGGATCTAGGATTTGAAGGTAGCGAGTACCATAATTTCTTTTAATGTATACCTTGTAATGACTAATATGAAATTTGTTAGGAATGTTTCCTCAGGTCAACTTAATAGGTATTTTTTATTTGCAAATAAAAAATTACATCTCACATAATAAAATAGACGTAATTAGCATTTTGAATAAGGAATCATTCATTTATTATACCAACACAAGTAAAATCAACATTTTCACTAGGAAATTACATCTTTTTTTGTATATTAAAAATAAATTTACACAAGTAATATAACATCTTCAATAAGGGAATTACATCAAGCAGAATAAGAAATTTTTTAAAAATATCTTCAATAAACTACAAGTTCTCAAAAATTAAAATCACAAATCTCATCTTCTTTAAGCAATGGTTACGAAAATTTTGTCATAATTTAATAGTAAAGAGATTTAAATTATATTTCATAACCATGGAATAACACAAATTTTTATGATATAATAAAAGAAAGATGAAAAAAGATTGATCTCAATCAAAAATTACCATTAAGACCCAAATTTTTCGGAAAGAAGAAACCTCATAAATTTGAGATTAACATGAATGAAAACTCATAAATTTGAGATTAACAAGAATGCTTATTTTATAAAATTTTATAATTTTGGAGTCTCTTTTTTTAGTGTTCTTGTTAGAGTCGCATATAAATAATAATAGAATAAAGAAAAGAAAAATATAAAAAAATAATGAAACGATAAATAGAAAATTGGGAGGTAGTCAAAATGAAAAAAGGTTGGAACAAAAAAATAAATAAAAAGCACATGAAAAAGGAAAGTCAAACAAAGTTCAAGATAATTCCCAACTTGAATTTTACACACGAGAAAATCTTTCAAAAAGATATACCAGTCATGGCACCTTTGTCTAATTTACGGTTGCGAGTGGTAAGATAAGATATTTAACCTAATTTAAGAAAATTTTAAAACAGATATATAAAAATTTATCATTTTAGCAGGTGTCATACCACCCCATTGTAAAGGGGTAGATCCGCCACTGATACAACAACCCAGTAAAATTCCACCAGTAGATTCTTTATAAATACATACACATACATTTGCAAGAACACTCAATACTTTAATATTTTTTGCTATAATCAATTGTGTATGTTCTCTACCCATCATCAATTCTACTACGATGGTTAACTACCGTGGTGGGATAAAATTTGAATAGTGGTTAGTGTTAGTTGACTGAATAGTGAGAGATTTAACTGATGTAAGGAGAAAGATAGTTACAGTATAGAGACATCTAACTGAGTTTGAATGATTCACTTGGTGGTTAATAAAAATCCTTTAATTACCAAAAAAAAAAAAAAAAAAAAAGTCTTCATCCTAGAGGCCTTCATCTTGATATTTGGGTAT